CTAGCTACCCATTCCAGATTTGGAGAGACTCTTGCCCTATTTTAACATTAATGTTCCCAGGCTAGAGAGAGCAAAGAATCTCCAGGAAGGTGCATTGGTGTCTGGCCTCCTAAGCACTTCTCTCTATATATTTGCAATTAAGGGCCCATGGCTCAGGCGGGTGAGGCCTCACTCTGTTGGCATGTTCTTTATGGCCACCAGCAGAGGGAGCTGCACACCCAGCCAATGGCTGCAGCTGCACCCAAGGGCTAGGACGTGGAAAAAGGTGGAAATGCTGAATCACCCGGATGAGCCAGCCCGCTGAGATTGGATCACAGCTCTATCACATCATGATCTGATTACTTATTTCCCACTGGACTGTGAGCTCGGACCATATCTAATTTATCTTCTGTCTCCTGAGTCTTGCACAGCATCCGGCATACAGTAGCCCTTGGCAAATATTAACTGTGGTTGCTATTTCGGGCATCTGACAAATGAATATTCACCAGACTTGGCCATGTGTTAGCATTCGCTAGGATTGCTAAGAGGTTGAGATGTTCTTCCTCCCTCCCGAGATCACTCACAAGGTATTTTCTGCATCCCAGATCAATGAGACATTTTTTTCCCAGAACACCCTTCCATCATAGAGACCCCTACAAATTAGATCATGAGAAATTCCTCCCCCATCGGCATCCTCCCCATCTTTTCCCCAATCCACAAAACATCTGTCTCCCTGCAGGCAGGGCCTCAGGCCCCTCACCAGTCCCAACCTGGAGTGGACCCACAAGTCCCTCAGCCCAGACGGCTGGGTTAGAGACTCACACGCCGGCTGGCACCAGTGGCTGGAACTTCCACTGCTCCTCCTCACAGTCCAGGAAAAGCCGGTTCATGATCTTGTTCTTCTCTTCCGGGGGGATGAAGTTCTCGATGATTAGGTACCTGAGAGCAGGAATGAAGGAGCGATGGGAAACTGGGTGAGTGAGAGACCACAAGGTGCCTGTAAGGGGTTTAAGGATTAGAAGCAACAAGCCAAGAGGCAGAGGGGGACAGGCGCGGTGGCTCACGCCTGTAATCCCAGCACTTTGGGAGGCCGAGGCGGGCAGATCACGAGGTCAGGAGATCGAGACCATCCTGGCTAACA